GGCTTAGTCAAAGTTATGAGACACAATTAGGTTGTTGTCACTTAGCAACCATAACTGGGTTCAGGAGCAAAGCACTTTGGAACAGACAGTACCTGACTACTAAACATTACCATTACAGTGTACCCAGGACCACTCACTTCTGCTTAAAAATGGGGAGATCAGGGCACAGGAAGACAATCAGAGTACTTTTAAGAAGTGTTCACATTCCATTTTTCAAGCTACAAGAGTTGCTTTATCTTCCCCTGATTTCCCACGATCCCATCAACCATACAGATGAGGTTTTGAAGAGATGTTTGAGACAGGAAGGACACAGGTAAGCACTTAAAGCTGTCTCAAGGCATTAGGTACCAAAACCACCAAATTAAACTGCAATGAAAACTACATACTGCAGATGTCCCAGTGGACTTCTCCTTCTCTATGTTTACATGTATCACTTAGGTGCTTTTGAGTTTCACGTAGGTACTTAAGATGTCCTTCGATGAATAGGAAGTTATGAATGAAAAGATTGCTATTGTAATCCTCTATTTCCTGTAAATTATTGGACTTTGGTACTTCAATAGTGGTAGACACATTGGGGACAAAGATATTATTTGTTTCTATGAAAGTAACTAATTTTCTCTTCTCCCCCAAATATCCTAACTCAATGGATTTATAAGAGGTATTTAAAAGACATGTGGATGTGGCACTTAGGGACATGGTTTAGTGGTAGATTTGGCAGTGCTGGGGGAATGGTTGGACTCGATCCGAAAGGTTTCTTCTAACCTAAATGAATCTATGGTTCTATAAAACCCACACAGTCTTTTCTCTGTCTGCTGTTATAACAAGATGGAAGGGCTATGGTAAGGCATATGGGGAAAAGGACTGCATAGCACCAACCATACAGAGTGAACACTGTGGCTCGCACCTTGCTGCATACCCACAGTACAAACAATTAAACATGTGCTAAAAGTTATTTGAGAAAATAAAGAAGACAGAAAAGTGACTAATTTAGAAGGATCACAATACTTAGTTAAGACTCAAGGCCTAACTCAGACATCATTCAGACACATTCATGCCAGGGGCTCTGAAAGAATCAGCTTACACCAGGGAACACAAGGGCAGCATCAGGCCCCTTCAGCTCTGACCTGACAAAAGCACCCCTGAATCACAGATGCAGAGTGGGAGGCTCAGGGCCTCATCCAAGAGTGAGTCAAGTGTGTATTTTCCTAGGAGCTTAAACACACACTTGAAATATGTTGGACAAATACTACAGGAGCTCCCAATGGAAGAAGCCCCCTGCGGCTGGTCTCCGAGCACTAACGGATGAGGAGGCTTTTGCTCTGATAGACTAGCATCCAGCTAAACCATTCTGTTCTGGCAGACTGGATAGATAGAGCTGGAAATAGCAGTAGCCAAGTATTTCTCATTACTGTTTGCTGCTGAAAAAAATGGAAAATGGAGGAAATTAATTTGCTGAGGCATGTGATGCTTGCCTGGTTGTCCTGAAGTCTTTTGTTCAGCCCCAGTACACAGCAAAGAAAACTGTGTGAATGATTTCAGTGGGGGTTCAGTTCTCCGCTTGCCACACAAGGCAGCAAATCTGTGGCTTACGGGAGCAGCAGCTCTCTCTTGCCACATCACTTTGCCTAATCTCTGGATCATTCCCTGGAGGTCCAGCTTTGCAAACATCATCTGCCAGGGATGCAGGTAGGGAGCAAAAAGGGAGTCAACAGATATGAAGTGGAACCTGCAGCTGTGGGGCCTTGGAAACCGAAGAGCAATTGCCTCTCCTCAAAGCAGCTCAAAGCAGTAAGCAAAAGCAACCCAGAAAAGCCAGATTCCTTCCCAAGTCCCTCACTGTACTATCTCTAACCCTCTGTCCAGCCAGTACCTGGTTAAATACCAGCTGTGTGCATCCTGTGAGTATTTTAATTCTTTACTACCCATCCACAGCTATTGTACCCGCTGCCCTGTGCTGCTGGGGATCCTTCTCCATGCTGAGAGGCCTGTGCACTTCCATGAGCCATGAAGCTCAGTGTCTCCTTATGGAGCAAAGAACTTTGAAGAGTGGGAAAGGGCACAGCAGAAGCCTAAAAAAAAAAAGTCTAATGACACTCTTAGGCTTCAGAATATGATGCTGAGAGCCCCTGTGAACTGCAGTCACAGCAGTCAGAAGTGATCACTTCAGTGTAAACAAGCAATATTCCTTAAAGCTGCTAACACTGACAGCTAGTGGCTCCTTAGGGTTTCCAGGTTTCTGTGTCTAAAGTTCATGTGTCCTGGAATTAGTAAAAGATCCAAGAGCATTCTTGGTATGTTAGACACACCTCTCTTATGAGGAAAGGGTGAGAGAGCTGGGCCTGTTTAGCCTGGACAAGAGATGACTGAGAGGGGATCTTATCAATGCATACAAGTATCTTAAAGGTGGCTGTCAAGAGGATGGGGCCAGACTCTTTGCAGTGGTGCCCAGCAACAGGATAAGAGGCAACGGGCATAGACTGAAATACAGGAAGCTCCATCTGAATATGTGGAAGTACTTCTATACTTGGAGGGTGATAAAGCACTGGAACAGGCTGCCCAGAGAGGTTGTGGAGTCTCCTCTGGAGATACTCAAAACCCACCTGGGCATGACACTATGCAACCTGCTCTAGGTGAAACTGCCTTAGGAGGAGAGCAGGACTAGATGACCTCCAAAGATTGCTTTCAACCCCAACCTTTCTGTGGTTGACATTTTAATTGCTTCTAATAATGTAACTGCACCATGAAACCACTTATTGCCTTATGCTAAAATAAGAAACAATGGTTGCGATGATATTTTTGTTCTATTAAGAGGTACTCTTAATAGAGTACCTCTTACCCAGATACGGCTTCAAATTTAAACAGGGGAAGTTTAGGTTAGGTATAAGGAAGAAGTTCTTTACTATAAGGGTGGTGAGGCACTGGAATGGGTTGCCCAAGGAAGTTGTGAATGCTCCATCCCTCGCAGTGTTCAAGGCCAGGTTGGACAGAGTTTTGGGTGGCATGGTTTAGTGTGAGGTGTCCCTGCCTGTGGCAGAGGGGTTGGAACTGGATGATCTTAAGGTCCTTTCCAACCCAAACTATTCTATGATTCTATGACTCTTCCCTTTAAACTTATGCTCCTCGTTACAAAATAGTGCTAATCATTGATTTAATTCTCAGGCTCCATTTATGCTTAACAATATGTTAAATCTGCTCCTTAACTGACAGAGAAATGTAGGCTCCTGGATGTTTCCTTCCAGTCCCTTTCTTAAGCCCATGCAGCAATTCCTGCTCCCTAAAACCTTGTTCTACAAAAGGCTGTTACGGGGCTTTGATACTGTGGAATGATATTCTTCTTAGATAGTAGACTGGGAAACCTGTATGTTACCCAAACATTTGTTAAAATATTCATATTCCAAAGTGGTTTCAAGATGTACCTTAAAACAAATCAGAGCTTAGATTCTGAAAGTTACCAGGAATTAGTCCAACATTCTCCAGTCAAACCCCATAGTTTTAGGTACTGGAGTGAGCATTGTGTTCCCAAAAGGGAATGGCAAATTGGAAAAACATAAAAGTTAGGAGAGGTATAAGCCAGAAGACAAAATTCCAAATACTTTTCCCTGAATCATCTTGCGCTGTGAGACTTGACATCTGCACAAACACTGTTCCCTCCTGAGGCAGAAACAAGGAAGAATCTGACATCTGAAAATAGCTTTCCCAAGAATCTTTCTCACATCTGTTGCCATGTTAGACACTAGGAAAAGTACAGAAGTGTGTGAACGTTTGGGTGTGAACACTTGATTATGTGTCATGCTGTTGTGTGATGTGCCATTAAAAGCAAGTCACAAGGGTGACTGTAATGCAAGTGTTGCTGAGTACGGTCGTGTGAGCTTTGGCAGTTGCAGAAGGAAAACAACCTGTACTGAATTCTTTTGCTGCAGCAGCACACCTGCATCCCCTCTGCATCAATAAGCCCTGGGTGCAGAATCTTTTTATCTCACCCAGGCCTTCTTTCCTCTTTCTTTACAAGCTTTTCAAACAGCACAAGAAAAGCGATGCCTCACAACTTTGTCGTTGCACCTCACAAAGGAGGCTTGTCCCAAATGAGCCTCAACCACAGGACTTCTTGCAGATTCTGATAAAGCAGAACCTGGCAGTCTATTGCCCAGTCTTTGACAGGATATATCAGCGTAATTGTACAGATTTTATTCCTAATGTAAATGACCAAACAGAACAATGCCTTCCACAGGTTTTCTATAGAAAGAGCCCTTTCTAACTGCATCTTTCCCTACTGTGCATGCTTGTGGCTCTTCTGTTTCCCTTTTCCTGTATCCACTGGATGGGATTAGCAGTGGATGCTGAGCACCATTCAGACACAGCCCAACGATCTGCCAGTGAATTCATTCTATGGGTGTTTGAATTCCCCAAGTATAACTTCCAGATTTAATTTACTCCCATTATATCACGGAAAGAGGGCTGCACTTCCCTTATTCTCACTCCTGGGATACTTTATGTTTCCTTATGCTATTCCAAAAAGACATGCCAGCTGCATAAAGCATCATGTTTTGTAATGGTTTTATTTTTGGCTGGCTCATAATTAACAGTTACCTGCTGAGTTAAAGTATTATTCCACATCCCCTGCCTAACACCACAGAGTGACTGCTCAGTGCAACCATTTTACCACTTCTTTTGTTACTCTTATTTAAGGTACTGTGGTATTCTGGATAAATTAGAAAATGACGTTATTGAAATGATACTGCTACCATCGAGGACTCTTCAGCTCCGCATTCCACTTACCGTTGCCAAGCTGATAAATATGAAACATCGCCTGTTGATCACCTGCAAGGAACATTATTTTCCTCAAGTGGAACAAGGTCTCTAGTTGTGATGCATTGAAGGGACCTTTCCCCCAACTGCCACCCATTAGCATGCTGATCAGCAGCAAAGTGAAGAGTCAGAGCCAAAACTACAACCCCAAATACTAGTCCAAACTTGAAGGAAATCACTTGCATGTTACTCACCAGTAAGGCTGGCACAGATTTAATGTAACTTCATGATCTTTCTGTTTCTGTCTTTTCTCCACAGAGCAGATGACATTTATGTGAGAGGTATTTTCCCTGCTGACTGGGTGCTTTAAATCCATACAAAGAAGAAAGAATAATAGAGACATCAGTGAATCAATCAGTGAATAACCACTCATGAATGAAAAGTGGAGTCAGAGAGAGGGGAAGAGGGTGTAAGAATTAGAGATTTCCCCTGCAGAATGCCAGCCCCATCCTCTTCTACCTCCCTTCCACCTCCCACCCATGCCAAATTGCTGCCAATAATTAACCCAGACATTCACCCTGCTTTCCCATAAGTGATCTGTACTTCTACCCCTCCACATACCAAAGGATCTGATTACTCCATCTTCAAAAATGCAGTTAATACACCTGAGAATAGCCCATGATCATGTGCTACACACAGCGTGCCAGCATCATTCCTCTCTATAGGCCCATGCTGGCTGAATACATTCCCAAATATCTGCCTACTTCCAAGATCCAAGGCCTGCCAAAGCAGAGTGTGTATCTGAGTTGGCTAAACACTAAATCATGCCACTCAGGCTCCTGGTCACTTCAAAGTTTATAGCTACTTAATTTTCTTATAGTTTCATCCTTTCTGCTTATTGCCCTAATACTGGAGGTGTGCTGCTGCTATGGGATTCATATTCATATCTGAGAGGGAAAGGCTTCTGTGAATGGTAGTTTAACTCCCCATGGGTAGAAAGGGAAGATTTCAGAGAAGATTAGGTTTACAGTGAGGGATAGATATGCTTTGATTTGCATTGTGATCAATTATTCTGTATCAGATAAAGTAAATTACATATTAGACAATTAAACACGGGAGGGATTTTAAGACTGGAATTTTCACATTCTCAGACTGAACACTCAGATTTCTTGCCTGGGAAGAAATGAGATGACCAATGTAATTTAGGCACACCATTTTTGCCTCTAACACAAAATGAACATCCCTAATGTGTTGGCTTAGATGCATTTACCTCCACATTTTCTCAGCAGGTCAGAACATGAACGCAGCTCAGATACAGGCAATGCTATGCAGGAGGTAGCATGCTATTTTTTGCTGACTGCTCTTTAGATCTCCATTCTGCAAAGGGCTGAGTGCTCTCAAGTCTCCATCTAGTCAATGAGAAGTGAAGTTACTTAACGTGTTAGACTGTATCTTACAAACTCTCTGCTATACAATTGCCTTGAGTGAATTCTGGCATTTTCCCTCCACATAACCAAAATGAGAAAATGTTGCCAGGACATGACTGAAACTCAAGAGTTCCAGAAGTTTGATGGCCTGAGTTCACAGCCTGGCTCTTGTGGGATGAGCAGGTACACGAGCAGTGGTTGCCTCTATTCTGTTAGTCCTAGTGCATTTCTTTTCCATCTGTGCCCCTCAGACTCACACTGCTATCATCTACATGGCCACAGTGCACAGTTGTCAGACTCCGAGGCTGAGAACAGTGTACAGGTGGACTGAGCTGAATTTTTCATGATGCTGATACCAAACTGCTCTCACACTCTTGACAGCTTTGTATGAAGAGGTCAGTAGACATTCAGACAGTTGTAGGTTCCTTTCTTACTTCACTTTCTTCATAGCCAATCCCACTGGAGGCCTGAGATCATCCGTGATAAACCCCAGCACAGGGAAACAATGCACTTGCTGGGACCTTTTCTGTCTTGCAGAGTTACTTTTTAGCATATAGAATTCTCTTTTTCAGCACACCTCTCTCCTGGAATCCAACAACTGCAGATGAGGCAGCCAGTTCTGTTCTGCTGCTTTGCTGAGAGAGGGCTGTGATAGCGAAGAGAAGGAAAGTGCTGTTTGCCTCCAGCCCTTCTTCTGCTGGATTAGAAGTGCTCTACAGGGCTCCATTCTCTCCATGGGGAGAGAGGAGGAAAGAATGAAAAGCAAGGCACAGCAAGACCACATGAACAGCCCCAAATGAAGCATGAGGTTATTAGTATCACGATATGGATATTTCATGATGGTGTGTATATATGTCTCACTAAAATCACAGTCCCATCACAGTATTGTACCAGCTTTACCATCAGGTTGTGCTCAGTCTCAGTATATTGATACTCAGGTGCAGAGGTAAGGCTGTCTAGGACATATGTACCACTTTACCCAGGTCCTCAAAAGATTTAACCAGACCTCACATCCTTTGCTTTCCCAGCTTCTGCCTTCCCATGACAATGGAGAAGAAGAAAACATAAGAAATATTGACAAATTACAGGATCTAGTAACTTGCCCTTTAAAAAAATCATATTACTCAGAGGTGCTTTGTACATATAGTCATTAGAGCCAATAACTTCAGCAATTGATTTCTCAACTGTGGCTCAAACTAGTATCATTACTTTTAAAACCCAACATACTGCATGAATACCAAATGTATTTATTGGAGTTACTTGATGTATCCCATTAATTGTGAATAGAGCCTGGATTCGCTGCCTTTGTCATAAATAAAGCCATTTATTTCACTGGAAATATCTGGCTTTTCATTCAATACGAAGCACTTAGATGCAACCTCATGTGACCTTAAAATCACTGCACTTTATCTCTCAGCATCATTAAAATAAGAAATAAAGTACTTATCTCTGCTTAAAAATGCAAAGGAAAATGATTCAGCTACGATAGTGTTTCCTTTGTAGAAATGATTTTGGGGTGAAAGATCTTTTTTAGGACTGTCAAAATGCAAAACAATACTGCATTGAAACAGTAACAAGTTCCTTTACTTCTTTAAAGAGCCAAATTGCATGAATCCTCATTCTTCCTTTCCCTCCCCTCACTTCTTTGCACTTAAAAAATGTCATTAGCAAACCCAGTAACAGACTAAAGGGTGCAACCAGTCTATAAAGCTGAGATGGGGTGAAAAATCGAATGCTGAAACTTTGCAAACAAGTTGCTCTGAGTCAATTTTCCTGCAGCTGAATCTATGCTCTTGTCTGTTCTCATTTCCCACAGGTACCTACGGAATTGGCAAAGTGAAGTTTCTCCTAACTAACTTGCTGGTATTCAGCATGTTGCTTTATTTCCTCTCCTATAACTGAATTGTGCTGGTTTGACATTTTGATTCAGCACTGTAAAAAGAGCAGACTCAATTTACTGAAATTTCTGTCATTGATGCATTTAGGGAAAAAATACTGATTCAATTCTGCAGCACATCCATTAAGGGAAATGTATTTACCTTACATGTGTTTGCAGAACCAAGTAGCCATTCATCAGAAACAAGAGGAACATCTCACTGCTCCCTGGAATAAGTCATAGCTTTGGACAGGGATGGTTCTGACCTGAGGTTTTTCTGGTTTCCCAGTGGAGTCCTGTCCCACGGCTATTTGAAGGCAACCTGCAGAGCCATTTTGGTACTCTCTTGGCCCAGAGTACATGAACATCTGAAGCGTTTCACACTGTGTGAAAGAAGAGGGAGAACAGAGGTAAATAATGGCAAAGGACCATGTTATTGCAAGGTGTTACCAGTGGAATCCAGATTACCATGGTAAACATGGGAATTGACAACATATAATGTTCTTCAGCCAGCTGTCCACCCTCTCCTACTGTTTCCCTCTAATTCTGGGGGCAATTTTGCACACTCTTTTAGAAGTGATACTGATTTTGCCTGAATGAGGGCTCGGGATGCTCGTGGCTGTCCCATCAACACCCCCTGCTCCTGTGCACAAGTCCACCCACAGCCTAAAGAACCCATTTTCTCCCAAAACTTCTAGGTGATACTGTCTGACCCAGCTGTTGTAATGCTCAGCACAGTTGATGGAGCAGAGAAAAAACATTATGGTCCTCAGTGCCCTACTGCTACCAGCTTCTTTTTAACAAGGAGGAAGGAGAAGCTGTCCTTTTGTAGGAAACTTCAGGTAGAGTATCCTGAAACATCTGCAAAAAAAGGGGCTTATATGCAGCTCTTTGTACTTACACTGTTTCCACTAATCAATTTCAACACTTTGTGCTGCTGTTGCCATCAAAATGTACTCTTCTGTACATAAAGGAAGGCTTTTCAGGCTCTTCAAGTTTTTTAATGCTTTGTGTTGCTGTTGCCATCAAAGTGTTCTCTTCTGCATATAAAGCAAAGATCTTCAACAGTTCTTCTAAAGGATGCAGATTGAAAAAAGCATAGGAATAATGGAGAAGCCAAAAAAGACGTTTCTAAGTGGCAAGTGTATAACATACCTAAAATTGACATTTTATTACATTGGACTTCTGGATTCAGAGATACCTGAATGGATTCCTCCCATACAAAGGCATCTTATACAGATGCTCTGCAGACACACATACACATAAATTAGTTACCTCTACCTCTAGACCACACTCTCGTGGTCACTAAGGAATAACAGAATGACAGAAAAGGGAAGCTAAGTGCAATAATCCTGTTGACCACTAGAAGAATCGTGTTGACCACCTGCTTCCACCGATCAACTCCAGAAGTAAGTGGTGGTGGGAACTCAGACACATCCTGGTGTTGGTGGTTCCTCAGATCAGGTTATCAATTGTTTCAGTTCCTCAGTGTAGCAGAGATCTCTTTGAACCAGAAATAGATTCATATGGCTGGGAACTGACTCTCCTGAAACTTGTCCCTTGCAGAATTACCTCGTCCTCTGCTTTTGATGCAATATATTAATGGATCTTTATCCAACTATTTAGTATCTGTTAAAACATAAAGTCTACATATGTTTTTTCCTAAGTTTCTAAACAAATAGCTGAGAAAAGAACAAGCAGCTCTTCCACAGACACCTACAAATTGACTACACCTCTGACCTTCTCCTGTAACAACTTCCAAAGCTATTCAACAAAGTTTTGAATTCCCTACCTCAAATTAAGAGAGATGGGATTTGTGTGAGCTTCAGGCCAAGAGGTGAAAACTTAAAAGCTTCTCATTTGTATTCCCAGGAAGTAGCTGGATCTTTATGCTTTTCCTGCCTCATGTTTTTCAAAACTTGAAGAAAGGAACAATTGTGAGGTTCTCCAGCATTTGTCAGGTTAGGAAAATAATTCAAACAGACATTATTTTCATTCAGTGAAACTGAGTTTTCTGTGGTCTTTCTTCCATAATTTAGAAATTGCAAAGGCCAAAACTTTCAGGAATTATACTTAAATAATTATAACTAACTATTAAAGTCACAAAGTACTTGATTGATATTGAGAGATCATTGGGAAGGTATTTTCTGCTTAGACACACAGTTTAAAGGTTACAAGTAAATAGCCAGTTATTAATATTGAAATATCTAGGGAATGGTAGGGATGAGAAAGGTAGAACACTCTGGATTTAGCTGCCACTTCTGCCAGTGTGACTCCAAAGATAGATCCAGCCAGCCCGGTCCCAAATCAGGGGCTGCTGCTTGTGCTGCTTTGCTGGTATCTATAAACGCAGAGACAAAGCACACTTTCTATATCCCATGAGACCTGTTGCATACACAATGCATCTCCCATTTTCATTTTGCCTCAGAAATGCTGATAGCAACTCCTCCAAGTTCAACCAGCTTCTATATGGCTGATAGTAGCAGAACAGCCCTGAATTTGCTTCACTATGCTTATTTAAACAAGTTAAGCTTAAAATGGTCCCAGGGCAAAAAACAGGGTTATGCCTAACAAGTACATTAAACCTGATTATGTCTATTAAGCCCAGGGAGCCACCCTTGTTGCAAGTGCACATTATGTTAGGAAGCAGTTACGGGCAGTGTACTGAATTCCCTAATCAAATCAGCGTGGGATGTACTTTTTTATGACATTTAGAAACCCTCAATTACAAAATACTGAGCTAAAAGTGCAAAGAAATGGATTTCCCTAACACAGTACCAGAAAACAAACAAGCACTGGATGGAGGCAAAGAATTGGAAGCTTATTTTGCCTTCTGGTTTTACTTTTATTCTTTTATTTTGGTATCCTAAGATACTCAAAATGAATAAAAAGCCTAATATTTGAGGGAAAAAGAATCTTGTCATTTGAGCAATAAAGTATGTAGAAATTGCCCAAGGGACAAAAATCAAAGGTATCTTCATCTGCAACATACAAAACAGGACAGTATCTTTTATTATTTCATAATATCTTTCTTTAAAATGTAAAAATTACAAAGTTTCAAGTATTTATGAAGCTGAAAATACTTAATTCCTCTTCTTTCCCACCTGCTATGTCTTTTATTGGTGGTTTAAAATTAAGCATATGCTTCTGGAATAGGTATTTCAGGGCTGGGATTTTGAAAGGAAACCAGATGGCAAAAATAATAAATCTTTCTCCCTTCTGCTCTTTGACAGTCCCAATCAAGGCAGTTACTGGGCTAGAAGATCAGGTTTATGATTATTGTCATAAAAAGATTTTCTTTGTGCATCCAATGTGGTTTTAATTTTCTAGAAGCCCCAGTTTAGTGAGATAGTACATGCAAACAGTTATAGAAAGATCATATACCACATTCTCCATGTAGTTTGGAGGCACTGGTGTATTATTTCACACAAATAATGTGACTTCAGAGTATCTCAGACTGGAAGCACTTGAGGATTTCTAATGCAGAATACAAAATAGCTATAAGGAAGCACTATCACACACAAGGGTGTCACTCCCAAATAGCAGATAAGGATCTGGTCTTAAAACAGTCAAGTATAACCACAGACAAAACTGATGTGGGAGGTCAGTATTTTAAGGCTTCAATCTGCAAATGGAAGGAATCATCTGTCTACAGCCTTAACAATAAATAGCATGGTTAAATAGTTTAGAAATTCTTTCAATCACTGATCTTAAAAAACCCTCACATGATAAAAAGAAATCCTTTATCATTAATGCTCATGATTTCAAGGCAAAGCTTGAAAGACCTGAAAGCTCAAATACAACAGCTAAGACTATGCTGGTTATTCCCAAGACTTCTGGAGAAATAAAATGTGCAGTTAGAGCCCTTTGATTACCTGAAGAAATTTCAGCATTGACAAAGGAATGCTCCAAACAGGAATACTATTGAAAAAATTTTAACACTTGCTTCAAAATCAATATTCCAACATATTTCGATGTAGAACCTGCAGAACATTTGTGGATATTCATTTCAACTCATCTCAGTGTTTACTGTTTCCAGTGAAAACAGCTACTGAAATAAAAAACTTCCCTGCAAAACCTCACTACTTCGTTGGAAAATTCTTCCATCAACATGATTTTAGGTGAGGGAAAACAATACATTAAGAATACAACACAGCAAATGCCAGATTTTATTGAGGTACTGCGTTCACATCTGTTGGTACACGGAACAATTACACTTAGCTAAAAAACAACCACATTCCTGAGACACCACATGAAGACAGCATACAGGGAAAGCTTAAAACAAAGCTTGGTCAACATGGTGTGCTAAATTGCTCTGCTTGACAACTGTGTTATCTCAGTGGAACTGCACAGGGTAAAGACAACATTTTACATGAAAATGACTAGCAGCAGGAGCTGGTGTGTGCAAATCAAAGTTTACTACTTCTCAGTACTGCAACCATACACAAATACATATCCTGGCACAGCTTTACATTGGCCTCTGGTTATCAACAGTGGTTGTAACAGCCAGGAAACTCCTCTGAAAGAGTGGGTCAGGTTCTTGTGGCTTACAGTCACAGTCCATCCTTGTGGCTCAGGAAATCTCTTCAAGCCACTTGGCTTTGTCAACAGCTTGTTTTGGTGAGGGCCTTGGAAAGGATGCAGCTCTCTATCTGCAAAATACCAATCAGAGTGTAGAATTAGCCTGATCAGAGGAAGACCTTTTAACGGTGCTGCACAGCAGAATTGTTAAGGAGATCCTGCAAATAAATCTAGAACAAACCACACAGTTCAATCTGTTTCACTGGCATCACTTATTTCCAAGCATCTCATTACTTTATCATGCAAAAAATTACACCTCTGAAGGGCATCCCTACAACCATGAAACACTAAATGGCTCCTCTGTGGATGTATGTGGACGGGTAGATCTGCTGTTGCTTCTCCTCTGTGAAAGTGAGGATTTCACCTTACATGTGAAGGCTCAAGGCACAATGGTGCTAGAACAAAACAAAACAAAAGGCTTAGCAGATGTGTCTTTCATCTAACATTTCTATGCAGTGCCTCCTGGAATATGCACCATTAATATCTACATTTTTCCATACATTTTTTCTTTTCTTTTTTTTAATGATAGACATACTCACAATGCGTGCCTTTAATCCTGAAGGATACCAAAACATATTCCAGACTACACCTGAAGGATTTCTATACAAAGAAATCACTCCACTGCTCATTAAAACAGGATTGGTTCTGAGGTGAAGCACAACAGCTGCTGGTACAGCTGGGTTTAGAAGCAGATTGTCTGGATAGGCAAAAAACAAGGGACATGCACTGAAGTCTAGCCAGAAAATCTCAGCAAATTCAGCTACCGACAGAAGTTCTGAAGTGTGAAATCTTGGATTTCAAGGCAGATGGCAACTAGCAGCAAACAGCACCACAACCAGCAAAGAACATCACTTCCAATGCCATTTCATCGAGAAGAATGATGCTTATCGGAGTTATCAGTGATATGTCTGTAGATTCTAGATTTTATGCTGCTTAAGGTGTTGGGGATAGTTATATGTTTCTGACCAACCTAAATAAAACCACACAAGACATACATATAAACTTAGATTTGTACCCTCCCCCAGTATTGCCATCAGGTTGACAGGAGGCTCAGCATGAGTCAGCAGCCTGCCCTGGCAGCCAAGAGGGCAAACCACATCCTGGGCTGTGTTAAATACAATATCACCAGCCAGGCAAGAGCTGATCATCCTTCTGTATTTAGACTTGGTGCAGCCTCACCTTGAGTACTGTGTGTAGGCCTTGCGCCCACAATTTAAGAAGGATTAAGGTAACCGAGTCCAGAGGAGGGCAACAAAGCTGATGAAAGGGCTGGAAGGTATGTCCTGTGAGGAGTGGCTAACGACCTTGGTCTTGTCTAGGTTGGAGAAAAGGAGGCTGAGGAGCAACCTCATTGCTCTGTACACCTTTCTGAGGAAGTGACCTGTGAGGGTGCTGAGGCGCTGGCACAGGGTGCCCAGAGAAGCTGTGGCTGCCCCATCCCTGGCAGTGTTCAAGGCCAGGTTGGACACAGGGGCTTGGAGCAAGCTGCTCTAATGGAAGGTATCCCTGCCCGTGGCAGGGGGCTGGAACTGGATGAGCTTTAAGGTCCCTTCCAACACAAAACATTCTGTGATTTCATGATCCTGTGACCTCTTCTTGGTATACAATAACATCATATCAGTGGGAATGGTTCAAAGCTGCACCATGGGAGGTTTAGTCTGGACATTAGGAAGTATTTCTTTACCAAGAGGGTGGTCAAGCACTGGCACAGGCTTCTTAGAGCAGTGGTCATTGCCCCAAGCCTGTCAGTGTTTAAGAGGCATTTTAACAATGCCCTTAATACTTTGCTTTAGGTTTTGGGCAGCACTGCAGGGGTCAGGCAGTTGGACTAGATGATTCCTGTAGGTCCCTTACAACTGAAATAGTCTATCCCTGCATACAGCATTTCTGCTTAAATACCATATCAGAAGGGATCTCAGACATTCCTATTATGGCCATCACTTTTTCTCCAGACTAGGGCCAGTTCCACACACAGCCTGACACAGCATCCAAGACTCTCGCTACTCACAGCAGCTTGACACATATTTCCTTCCCAGACCTGGAAGTCTAGCGAAAGCCAGGGGTTACTGATGTGGCTTATGGGATCCCTGGGGCTAATTCACAGCCCCACACAAAGGCTGAAGAGATCCTTCAGTCTAACCTGTTCAAGATACCCTTGGAAGAACGTCCCACAAGTTGCCTCATTGGCTGGTCCAGTACTACTACTGCCCTTATAGCTTGGAAGATTTTCTATCACTAAATCTGGATCTACTTCAAAGTGAAATTCAGCACAGTACTTACCCTTCCTGCCACATCCATGAAGGATACTCACTGTCCTGTTCTACATAACTGAACACTGTCACTCATCTTTTCTATGCTTAAGCCTGTCCTGCCATTCAAAAACCTAAATATTTTACCTCAGTTTTCTCTTTTCTCCAGTATGTCAATACCTAAAAGCATTACTGATAGAGACGCTGCCAGCACTAACTGGAACAAATTACTACCTTACATCCTATATACAGTTCCCTTCTTTGATACAGCAGACTAAAAGACCCCAGAACATCAATATTCTGTGTATGGCATACTGTAAACCCCAAGATATTCCCCCCCCTCCTTAGTTAATCTCCTTTAGGTATATTTGAGGATTTGATTTCTCCTTTTTAAACACAGCACTTTGCTTTTATCTTTATTGTACTTCACCTTTTTGATTTCAAACCATTTCTCCAGGGCACTGAGACAACTCTGAAAGGCAGTTTTACCCTCAAAGGCTTGCAACCCCTCTCAGGGTGGTGCCATCATAAATTTTATACATATGCTCTTTAGTCCTTCAGCCAAGCTCTTAGTACTCAACTGGGATGGAGTACCAAGACATCCTTCCCTCTGAAAATGTGTTTGAGAATGAGCCACAGAAAACTTGTCTTTGCCTGCCTGTTCATAAAGACCTGTAGTCTTTATGAACCACTTGTTCCCACTCCTCTGACAGGCAAAATTATCTTGACAAAGAGAGAAATTAGACTGGTTTGTCATGATTTGCCTTCATGAGATCTGTGTTAGGTTTTTCTTTATGCATAACTCGATTGCTTAATAATTTGATATATTACCACTCCAAGTTAGAAGCGATGCTTCCAGCTGCCTCCTTCCTCTGTTTTCCCTTTTCAAAGCTAAGAGTTGCATTTGCCATTTTGCTGGAAAGAAAGATCATGCAAACAGACTTGAATTGTGTGCTGAGCTACATCAGCTGCAAGGGTGTAGGGGGTCCTCTTCCTCATTAAAACCCTGTGAATTTGGCAGAGGAAGTGCACATGCTAAATCAGATCTAATTGCCACATGGAGCTTTCTCACAGCAGTGGAAGGCTTGCAGCCACTGGTGGACTTTCTGGCTTATCACTGCACTGTGGCTCTCCGTAACAGGTGAGGGCATGAAATCTTCAACAAGCAGACTACATGAAAAGCAAAGGATAGAAAACAGGTAGAGATCTGGAATTTCTACCAACACTTTATGGGATAATCTGTTGAAGTTCAGAAGAAATCTTTGCCTCCCATTTCATTTTCACAGAAAGTTCCCAGCTGTTCCATTCTTGGTCTGGAAGCAAAAAGGCTCACAGGCTAAGGGCATAGTTTTCCTGAATGTAGCCCGAAAAGTCTCAAGTACTTTGAGTCTTCATGACAATACCAGCTTCATTTTGCCAACAAAAAAAATATTGGATAATTCATCCACAAAAACAAGCTTCTCATTGTTTTGGTCCTTATAGGTAATGTGCATTCAAACCCCTACAATAAAATCCTCTGCAACTGGCCTTGCAGTTCGCTCCCTGCAAGCAATAGTGCAGGCTACACTTCAGGGCACTTCATAAACATTAGTCTCTATGACATGATGGAAGACAGGCAAGTTGAAGCATGAGGAAATGAAAGGCTCACGGCCTTGAGAAAGCAATGTCACATTCACAGACCTGAACTGAGGTCTCAGCTCAGCACTTAGCGCCTGCCTCAGATATTTTGGGATTTTCTCACCACAGACTGCTTTCTGACTGCAGGATCCTTTTTAGTCTTCCCGTGGCATTTTTCTTCCACAAGCCATTTCATTTGCAACAGCAGTAAGAAAAAATAGGTGTGGAGGTGGGTTAGATGTTTGAAAATGAGTTTTTGTTACACTGAAGTATTTGCATGAGGACAAGCAGCCCAAACCAACCTACTATGCTGATAATAAAAGAGTGCTTGAGAAAGATGCATTTGCACTTACAATGCACAGGGTGGCTTTCTTTTTAAGGGTACAAGAGAAAAGACACAAAGCAAGGAACTCTGGCACATTTATTTTCCTGTTCATCTAACAGCTGCTGAGCAAACAAGCCCACTTCTTTTTGCTTCCCCTGTGACAGACATTGCTGATGTACAGCTATTCTCACGTTCTGTGGCTGTTTAGCCATGAGCTTTCACCTCCCACAGAAAGTAAGATGCACGTTTTATGCCATCTGAAGTATTCTGCATTATTCATAAATTCCTCTTAAGTCTGAAGTAGAATTCACCTGTACTGGCATACATTTTAAATACTATTTTGCATGGTCTGTGCCATAGGCAGTTTGATCTTCAAACATGATTTCAGCACAAAAATCCAATCAGTATATGAAACTTCACTTTTTGCAAGACAATACTTTTCAGTCCCTTATGAGACTTGACTCAGCACTTGTAGGTAGCATCCCCAGGAAGCAGGGGATGCTAACCTAAACGACCCACCAGACAGTTCTCTGCTTTTACCCTTGGTCACACAGGAGTCTTTCTAGAAGTTCATCATTAAACAATTTGTTTTAAATGATAAGTTAGAAGGGCTGCCTCCTTAATATGCTGTGGTACATCCAGGACAGCATCAGGAAAAGGCCAAAGGCAGAATAAGGGGAATGTAATCTCTGGTGCACACAGCCATGATTGAATATTCATGTACAAGTAAATCAGTAAGAAGAGATTTCTCTGTGGGGGGACTGTGTTCAAGTCTCTGCAGATACTCCTGTGCAAGGTCAGCATCAGGGCAATGTCTAAGGACTGTATGATATAGAATCATATATAAGGACTCAAATCATAGGCAGTTTGCTAGTGCTTTTCAGAAACCTAAAAACCCACATAAAGGTTCATGGCATTTTGAAAAATGCTTATCATTATCTGCATCACCACATATAAAACAAATCAGAGGGTATACAAATACAATAGAGTAAGAGGAAAAATAAATGTTCTCACTGTACCTATTTTCATGACACCATTGGTAGAATCCATCCAGTGCCTCTGGTTTTTTTTAACATATTGAACTCCCTCTGGTCTCACTGTCTGTAAAACAAAAGCATTTTTAGTAAAACTAACAGCATTATTCTTCCTTCAGTTGTGTAGTAATATACAGATGTACCAGAGGAAACACAGCTCCTAGAATCTTTCTCTACAGTTTTTAGAGGATGGGATAAACTAGAGCTATTCCACTTTCTGCTCCTAAGCCTCTGGGAGGCTGCAATTAATAACTTGTGTTAAAAAGGAATAAACATTAAGATGAAAACTAACATAAGGTACAGTCCTGCGGTATATGAAGGACTTATAGCAGGATATCAGAGTGTCTCCTTAAAGGAATGGCAGAAAAACTTCCTGGATTCAAGAAAATAGATCAGAAATCTCAAACGTTCATCCTGCTCCAAACGCGATCAGTCACTATTGCTTTCACTGCACCTTCCATCCAATGACCCCAAAGCACTGCATGGGGGGAGGCTCACAACTTGTCTTGGCATGAAAGAAGCGTAACCCTTAGTTTTAGAAAGATTAAAGGGAAAAATTGCAAATAAAGCAATTTTTAATTAGGCATTTCTCCTGTTGTCCAGGGAAAGTTCAGTTCTGGCATCTCCCATCTTTTCAGTGTTGGACTTTGAAGCTCAGTAGTAGTCGAGTGTTGTTTTACAGAGCACAGCTTCAAAGGTTAAAATAAGTAACAGTTCATTAACATCCTACCAGGCCACTGACAGACGCCTGCTTTCCTGCCCTGCTTCTCTCTACCCCATTAGCCCCATCCTTCTTCCACACCTTCCCAGGTGCACCCAGGCCCTTGAAGTTTCTTCTGTAGCTACTGGCTCCAAAACTTCTCCTTGCTCCACCTTCTCATCTAAGTCTCCTTATGGATCTCATCAGTCTTCTCCCCATGCCTGGCTCCCCGTATTTCCCATTAGCCTTGAGTCCAGCACTGTCTGACCTCATTTTCCAGTTTCCCACTGCTTGGGCAACACAGAGATGAAAGAGAAAGAAAGAGGAGAGAGAAGCATAACTAGGCAGGGTGCTTCTGTCCAAGGAAGCTTGTGGGGAAGGGATTAAAAAAAGTTCCTGTAACCAAAAGGGCTGAATAGTTGAGAATTTTAGTATTTTCATTTAAAAAATAAAAAGGAACCAAGCAAATTAGGCAAAGGTATTACTTAGTTTTGAAGGGTTTCGAAAGCTACATTTTATTTTGTTTGAATTGAAAAAACCTTGCAGTTTGGAATGTGATAGTTTGACAGTTCAAAAACTCTGTAAAATAATATTTAAGCCAAGATTTTAGTTGAAACCAAGTCTTTTCAGTGAGTTAGTTCAGCTGTGATCAAAAGAAACCCAAAAAGCAGAACTATCAAATTCCAAATCAGCTATAAGAGGAAGCCTGGTTTTGAGTTCTGTCTTCATTTCATATCTAAACCAGTTTACAGCATCTATGGGTATCTTTGCAGTATAAAACCAGACTTAATGAGCTGCAAAAGCCTCACTGTTACAAGAAAGTTTAGGAAATGTAAAAGCTAACAAGTCCAATTTAAACATTTCCAGACCTAATCTTTCCTAGCTATAGAACTTCGAGCTAATTCGACCCTTCCACTAAATTTGAATTCCCAGCTCCAAAATAGGAAAGTTCCTTATTTCCTAAAGGAAAATAAATAATCTTGGGGGCAGGGAGCTTGGATTTATTTTTCTTCTAAAAGTTGAGCCCATTTGGCTGATTTTCCCCATATACAAGTACCTGAGGCAGATGGCTGGCAAAGAAAAAGGTAGCCTAACCAGGGAAAATTTAAGGCCAGCTGCAGAAAGACCACACAGTGGAAATTACTGATGAGCCTAGAAAGCAAAGCTATCAATGCACACTCCAAAACACAAGCACAGTGTCACTGAATTCAGACAGCACCTCGCTGGTTTCAGAACCAACAGTCAGATAACTAACAGAGCTAAGTAGAAGAATGTGAGTGTTCAGTGCTTTTTCATCAAAATATTTGAATATTTCGTATATTTGAAGAGTGTCCCGTGAGGAATCTTAATTAAGGAAAGAAATAGGGACAGGAAGGTCATCCGGCTATCTTTTGAGTTGAGTTTTTCCTTATGAAATGAAACCATGAACTTTTGCATACTATGATGTCACTGCTGTGTAAAAACACAGAATTAATCTCTTCTATTAAAGAACATTTTTCCCCAGCACTTATGAGTAATTTAGAAGGCCACAGTTCTCTTCACACTCCAACCCAAAGGTCCCTGCTGTCTGACTCTGAATGCATTAGAGAGGTCTTCTTGTGCTAAGCTTTAAAGGAAAATGTTAGTTACCATCATAAAATCTAATTTGCTGTTCTCACTTAGCAGTGGTATAGGACACCTCACCCCAAAGGTCCTCCTGCACTAATTCTGGCTGAAACACAGGGACAACTCAGAAAATGCGTTTACAAACCGTTTGGGTCACCAAGGAGGGAAGTCTCTATCTACCTTTTTACCTCTGGCAGCAAAACCCATTCTAAGGGGCCAGCAGAGATAACCACTCCTCTCTCATCAGCTGCATGGTCCAGAGAAGCACATCTTTCCCAGAGATGTGCATTCTTTCCCAGAGCTGAGCAGCATGTGCATTCTTTCCCAGAGCTGAGCAGCAGATATCCTTCTAGATTCTTCCTTTTCTGCTTGCTTATCTCTCCTCTCCTGCCAATTATGCCATCTTGACTCAGTCCTCCTCATCTCCCTAGATGCTCTAGCATTGTTCACTCAGCCTTAACAAAACACTTGCAATCTTGAGACTCCCTAGTTCCCTACCTTTTAAAGGGGATAAACCTTTTGCATAAAGAGAAGCTTTTTGGTTAGGAGGAGGACAAAGTGGATGACCAAATTCCCTTTCACCTTGGGAAAATCCATAAAGTTTGCATTCTCGGGGCTTGGATTTCTTTGGGGCTTTTATTTACCAAGAAACACTTTCGTAGTTCTCTAGCCTTCAAATGAGAGAAACAATGAAAAAATCCTTTCTCTCAGAAAGAGCTCACTGAGCAACTTTTATGACTAAAAAGCTAGTTCACTATACTAAGAAAAAGTATGCTCCAGTGATTTGAATACTCCCCTTGGTCTCAAAAAGCGTGGCTCAATTCTCTGTACCACAAAATTTCTGTGTCAAGCTATTCTTGACATATCATAAGCAAAAGGACAAAGGGCTTCTGGTTAGTGATGCCCTTTGAAAATTCCACTGGACATTAATGTCTGAACTGACAAAGCATTAAAAATATGACACTTCCCTGCAGTTATGTCTCTGTGAGATGGGGCTAATAGCTTCTCCCTACTTTGGAAATGTAGCTGTGAGGATAGAGTTAAAACTGAAGTCCTTTGACACTTCAGAAAGGCAGACCATTATAACCCACAAGCCAAACCCTAGGTGAACCTCGCATCCTAAAGCAGAGTGCAAACAATAAATAATGTATAAAGAGCTCAGACGTGGCCTATAAAGGAGAGGATTTCATTTAAATACTTACAAGTATGTTGCTGCTTTTTATTGAGAAATAGTAGATCTGTTAAAAAACTAGATTCTAAAGTCCTTGACATATGGGAGCTTCTCATTTGCCTGGTCACAGTCTTGCACATAAGGGATCAACTCTACACTATGCTACTACAAATAGAAAGGAGTAGAACTATTAACATTTAAGTAGTTCCTCCTCATCTACACCAGTGACTGAGCTCATTTTTCATGAAATTCAAGTCAGATTAAAATGCTAATATTTACTAGGGCTAACAACATGCTTAGCTAACTCAGGAACCCCATATATAACATCTGTGTTGATGCCACCAAAGACCATTTATTCAAGACTAAATACAGGCAAATTCCAGGCAATGTACTTTTTGAACTCAGAAGCTTTAACACAGGCTGCACATCCACTCTATTGGTAGATTCATGATCAATCTTGAAGTCATTTCTGCAAAAAAGTCAGCAATTCTATTTCCATATTTAGGAGATCTTGGATGAGCCCACGGAACAATGACCAACTTTTACTATTACATGAAGGAGGAAAGGCATACAATAATCAATTTTATGTTTAATGAAATACAAAGCTCCAACTGAGCTGATGTATTATCAGTGAAATTGAATATAATAAAAAATATTGCTTTTATGAATGAGTGCTCTCTGAATGCTCCAAGGGGACAGATGATGCACAACACCTGATGTGTGACGCAGCTTTTGTCTGAACAGCAGATTATGCTAGCCCAGAAAAGCAGGGCTGAGCTGAGTTCAGTTACAATATACGGTCCTCAGGCCTAACGTTTTCTGCAGCTTCTAAAAACTGTTTCGATTTTTTTAAATTCATTTTTAATTGCCTATATATGATTATGCTCAAATCTCAGAAGAACTGAAAGAGGAAAAAAGAGGCTGCTTTTACTGTTCCCCAGGCCTGAAAGCAGCTAACCAGTCATCTTGTAAGACACTCAGCCCTTGCATGACTACCATGCAAAAGAAAACCCGGTAGGATGAAGGGAGGCACTCAGGCTTGTCAATGAAATCCTTCAACATTTTCAAAGATTTCTCAACCCTGGCAAAGTGACTGGCTTTCAATTTCTGGCAACCCACCTCATCAACAGCTAAAGCTACCAGAATTTAGATGTAAAATAACTGTCATTCAGAGCAGCCAAAGAAGCAGAATAATAAAAGTGAAAGAACACAGGATGAGAGCAAAGTCAAAACAGTGTTTAGATACAAAGCAATGCAGGCTGAATAAAGCTCAAATCAACACAGGTTTTGGAAAAAGCAAAAATCTCTCAGCTTCCTGGAGTCATAACACCTGGAATCATGAGAGACAGGACACCTACACAAATGCTGGGTCATCAGTGGGAAAGCTTGGGACATTGTTCACCTCATGGTAGGAAGAAAGGAATAATCTCTAATGCCCAAGCAGGATGTGGTTCTGCAGCAGGGTTCAAGTCTGTAGAGAAAGATGAAATCACTTGGCTGCAGTGGTGCATGAGCACCTGCCTCCTTCCCAGCTCCTTATATGCCAAACATGTCTGGCATAAAAATACAAAGCATGAGAAAAACAGCACTACTGTCCTGGCAATGGATCAAGAGCTGATGCCATAACAGGAAAACCTGAGGGAAGAAGTTAAACAGCAACATGTTCAAAAGCATAATGCCAGTTTATAATTAGAACATAACCATCTTGTAAAAGATCACTAGGCATTTTGCTCATCCCACCCAAAAGTTTATTTAGGTTGCTCTAGGTAGCAGGTCTGATTTCCACTCTCTCCAGGATGGTGTGAAGTTTTCAATTTGCAGATTAGTAGCAGTTTGCTGAATGTGTGACTTCCACTTCAGCAGCTTGCTTAGCTTATACAGCTCCAAAGGAAGGCATTGCATTTCCTGATGGCCCTGCAAAACACTTTTAGACAAAAGCCTGCATTCTTTGGAGAACAAGACACAGCAATTTTGGTATGAAGTGGACTGTGTCAACTAGACACTCGGGAGAGGACTTGCTGCTTATAATAGGCTATAACTGCAGTAACTCATAGGTCATTATTCCCCCTTTTCAACTTCCAAGGCCTAATTAAGTACAACATTCTCTTTACTTCCTACAGCTTTACTGGATGTGGAAACCCACTTTTAAACATTCAGGAAGTCCAAGACAAAGGGTGAAACTTTTTGCCATCAAAACATGCAGTCAGATTCCGCAAAAGTAGTGAAATATAGCAGCAGCACAGGTTTTCCCACATCAGTGCTGGCTACATGCACTGCTCCTGCTGGTGTCTGTCAACATAGTTTGGGCACAAAGGTTTGGATTACTGGGACTGAAGCAAAGAGTCATAGATTTGGACTGGATCCTAGGTCAGAAAGAAAGAAAAAAGAACGATCGCTCCCTGTCACAAGAAAATACACTTAAAATCTCTTTTGAGATTCTTATTCCTAGAATGAAATCACTACTGTATGTTTATGTACTCTTGACAGCAAATAACTTATTAGACCTCATCCTAATAAAGAGAGTTATTTGTTGCACTCTTACTATTGCAAAGCTTTACTCTTCCTTCTACTAAATAAATACACTGAGCTCGCATTCATGTTTTTTATTTGCACTTGGTATACATTTCATTCAGAAGGCAAAACAGCAGAATAGTTTGTCTACATCTTGAGGTCCCCATGAGAAATACACACTGCTGGATTCCATTTAAACACAGAATAAGGCTTTATCTCTGCAGGAGATCGTGTATGTCAATAACAACTGGTCTTACCTGCCATCTGTAAGCTTAAACCAGTATCCAGTTTGCTGCGTGGCTTCGTGCTGATAAACAAATAACAGAGAACACACACAGTGATGATAAAAGCAAAGAGGACCACTGCTGCTATCGACAGGCCCACGAGTGCTCCAACACTGAGAAGAGAGGAAAAACAAAGACATTAAGTGCACAAACAGCCTGGGATACCCTTTAAAACAATGGTCAGGATCATACCTGGAGGTTCCTTGTACTCAGGTAGGGGAGTGACTATGTATTTTACTGTACTCAGAAGTTTAGAGCTCAATACTTATGTTGCATAAACTGGAATTATTTCATTGCCCTCAGAAGGATCAATGCCATTACACAGCAGTTGGATGTCTGGCCCTTGGTGACATTTCCTCTTATCTATGCATAGTAATCCTGAGTCTGATTTAAACTGTGTTTATGAAAACCAGAAATAATTCCATGCAGTAACTGGCATCAGTGAGATCAAGAACTTTTCCAATGCAGTGCATATTCCCAGATAAGCATGGTATGATAGAAGTATCACATGCGCACACAGAGGAATTCCAGAGATCAGTCAGCCCATAGAGTCTCCTTTTCTCAAACATCATAACTATTAAAGCTGTATTTTAAGTGTGAAATGTCATTTTTATTGCCAGAAGAGCCTGTTAGAGCACTTTAAGCAAAGTGCACGTTTGCCACAGGCTTCTCACCAAGGCTGACATGCCTGTAAAAAACAGAGTGAAAAGTGCGCAAGCCATATGGCTCAGTTGTGTTAGGAGCTCTGTAGAGGAGGGTTCAGTACTGTGATCACTGTTGTGCCTTCATGCTAGGCATGCAGTAAACCACCAAACAAGACTGGAGAAGTTCTTCCATGACCTTTATCAGGGTAAAAGGAAGACTAAAGATTAATGAATTTACACAGGACCTTAATTATTCAGAAGGCCAAACATATAGCTGTATATGTAGATTTTATCAAGATACTACTTCTGCAGGATAGAAGCTACTTCACACTTTTCCATAAATATTCAGTGAGATGGTATCTGTATATACAGAAATCTCTTTAGTAGTTTCCTTATTTCCAACCCTTCTTTTCCTACTCGAAAATTCTTGTAATGAAATAAGGAACTGACTGCAATATAGTGTAGCTATCAGTTACTAACCTCTCCTGGGCCATTTGATGCCTACAGCGTTCCAGTCCTCTATTCCACAGCCCATGCCAAAGACTCTGATTTCTGGTGAAATTAAACAGCAGCCTTTTGGTCACAGATGAAGAAGAATCCAAGGACTGAGAATCCTTATATTATGATTCTGGTATATTTACAGTTTTGACAGATACAGAAAGGACAGAAGAGAGATGAACGTCTTAAATTCTACAAACTCCATCCTCTAGTGACAAAAATGTCTTTATACAGAATCACTACCAGTGAGAAGTCAATTCTACTGTGGCCTTATAGGGATATGAGAAGAACTGTGCCTTGGAATGTTTTCATTAATTTTACATTCGAGCTACTGCAAAGCTTCTCTCCAAGCTCCCGTAACACCAGGAGACAGATATGTCTACAGGAGAAACTCTTAAGATGAGCAGATATCAGTGTGACTTTAAGATACAAATCTCATCAGTTACTGGTCCAATCCATTAATGAAGTTTGTGCAACATTTAGCTCCTTGCATGACTAAAATGATTTGTTATGAGCAAAATGATTGGTTCTTGAAACAATAACTTTACCCTTACACAGATCTTCCATGGTATTTATCATCTGCATGAACTAGAGTGTTCTTATATGTTTGTGTATATATGCACATATTAAGCAAGTTTTTCCTCTTTTTTTTTTCTCAAACAAAACTTACAGGCAAGCAGTATTCTGCTCACTATGGAATTGAATATAAGCTTGGAGTCAGAGATGTCATCTAGGTTCTGGTCTTACTTATGCATGTTCTCTTAGAACACCTTGACTCAAATGGACAAAACGTAAGAAATACCCTACGGAAGGCTGAGGTGAGCAGCCATTGAGCCAAGAATTATCTCCATAGCTGAATCTATTTGAGGAAGTAATAGAAACCCAAAGGCTCTTCAGAAACAGGCACTTGGCGCTTTTTTGTCATGTCTGTACTAGCTCTATTTTAAGATTCCATTTAAATAACAGTCTGCAGTTCAGGACAAAAGAAGGTGCCCACCATTATCCAAACATTAAGCAGAGTCAGCTGTTTTAAAGCTGAATAGTTTAAGTACATATTAATGATTGTATGTTTTTGTTTGGGCATCTATTGTTTCTTAGTTGTAGCTCTCCTCCATGCAGTTTTAGGATACAAGACAGTTCTGCACTGTATAGCACACACATCTTCTGTATTACTACAGAGGTTGTGTAAGATGCTTTGTGAGTTACAAACGCCAAAGGTAAGAAAAGCAGTTCCTGAAGAACTCTACATTATTTCCCAGTACAGGTCAAGGACTTAGGATCGGTTATATGCCACTAAGTATTTGTCATGCTCCAGCAGCAATGTGAAAAAATGACCCAAAACACGGAGATCAGCATCACAAAACAAAACACACCCCAGATCTCACTTCCTAAATCAATTGGAAATTAAGGTTCAGTTTGTACTTACTGTTTTTAAACATCACATTTCAACATCAGATTGTTCTCAACATGCTGAGGCCATCAACCTCTCAAAACATATTAGCAAGTCCTTTAAGGTTAATTTGAGGTTAAAGTTCAGAGGTAGAGGGTTGTTGCTTAATTTAGAGAAATTTAGTATGCCTTCCACAGCTCTGAACACTCAAGTTTCTCAGGCAGAACATAACCTTTTCTTTTTTAAAAAAGTTAGAACTGATATCACAAGCAAAATCCCAAAATAAGGATGTTCTTTGATCATTTTAATGATCAGTTTCCTCTGAAAATAAAGACAGCACTTCAGCATGTCCTTTAGATTGTACAGCAGTTACTATGGTGCTGCATATCCATCTAGGAATGTCCCTGCTGGAAATGTTTTATCCTCTTCCCATCTTTACCTTAAACATTAGGTGTTTAAAGGCCACTTTATTCACAGGCTTCAGGGTGTGGCATTAAACAAGCAAACTAAAATGTTACTTTTGCCCCTAGCTGTGATCTCATTAACAAAATCTGGCATTAACAAGTTTCTCATCCACCCCCAAAATGGTGATCTAGCATAAAAACAGCAAGGAAGGGCCAGGGGTAACCCTGGCAGCATTTACACAGCTTTTCAAACATGAGTGATGCTTGATAGAAGACCCACAGACTGAACAGAACTCTCCCAATTAACCTTCTACAACAAAGTCATACCACACACTTCACTGATGTTCCTGCTGCACCAAGTGCCACAACAACACGCACACTTGCAGCACTGCCACACATCTCTGCACAGCCAAAGGCTTTACTGAGCAGAGAGGCTCCACTTCGTCAGCGGACTCCCCAGGCTGCTGTCCAGAGAGATGCTGGTCATTGACATTTCTGTCAGTGGATGCCCAGCATCACACACCTACAGTTACTTTTAGTCCATAAATTAGTCTATCAGCACCAACAACAGTTAAGAAAAACTTAAATATCACTAAGCAGATGCAGTATGTCCACTGATATATTGGAAGGATGCTCATAAGTCATCTGGATCTGCATGAATCAGATGCTCCTAATGCCACTGTTGCAACGACATGTTGTACATGGTATTTGCAAAGCAAACAGATAAATATTCCCAGGAGACTGGAGGAATGTGCATACAGGAGAGATAAAACAGACTTCTGGAGATCTGCACAGCAAAGCTAGGCTACAGCATTGGGTCATCATGGTTCTATGAGTATTCATTAGTAAAGCACTTTGAATAAAATCTGCACTTGGCCTGCCAGAGTTTTAATAGAGTATGTAATATGACATGAAACTTATAAAAAGTACGGATTTGAAATAGATACTATAATTGTATTTGATACTGAAAGAAGCCATGAAATTTGCAAACTAAAACTTAATTGAACAGTGACAAAATGATTCTAAAATATTGCATACTAATGAGAAACAAAAAAGGTGCTGACTGAACCTAACTGCATCACAGAGCAGTACAGATACCACACATCCAGCATTCCTCCTCCTCCACTCAGCTTTGGAGTATAAGTAGATGTCATGATAACTGCATGTACATGCTCAGCACATGGCTCTGTTCAGTGTTCTGCTCACTAGTGTTTTACAGCACCTGCATTTTGTGGTTTCAAACGCTGCACAACCTTCTGATTGAGCTTGATGATCTTAAAGGTCTTTTCCAACCTAGCTGATTCTATGAGTCTATGAATTCTGTACACCCCTGACTTTTCCTAATGTTCCCTTCCCTGTTCCATGGGCTTTCTGAGATAGAAAAAAATGTTCTTCACGCTTCTTTGCTGAGATCAGCTTCACAAGAAATGCAGGAAAGGCATCTTGGCAAAAACTAAAACAAACCCAAAACCTATACTATTTAAGTATCAACAAAAAAGGCATAAGTGAGAAATTAATAGCATCACAGATAATAAATTCAGAGGATAATATGAAATGTGTCAGAGCTGCTCAAAGGTCATTTATGATTGTCCAGCAGCTCCTAATACAGCAGGTATTAAGATGCACTTGTCAAATACTGCAGTTTTTGCAGGAGTGGGAGGGGAAAGATGATTCCATTTTCCTAAGAAATAGTGCAGTATATAGCTCTGAACATAGTACAGGCAGCAGTGATTTGGTGACAAAAAAAAATAGCATAGGCAACTATCGCTTCGGGTTGCCTAGGCTGCTGGTTATTGCATGAACTGCTTCCGTCAGAGCTGGCTGCTAAGTGGTCTGGCAACACACCTCCCACAGCAGGAAAAACACAAGAGAAATAGGCAACAGTTTCCTCAAATTCTGCCCGGTGTGTCACCAAACAGAAATAATCCCCGAGATGTCACCAACCACTTGGTAGTTCATTTCAGTCACTGCTTTCAAATCAGTGGCGAGTCAAGCAAAGACAAATTTAGAATGAGAAACTTAAAGTTCTGGAGTAAAGCAAATCCTGCAACAATTACCCCATCAGAGCTTCCAGCTCCTTTCCCTTCCTCAGTACATTCAATCTCCAGACTTACCTTGGTTGGTTTGGCTAACTCTTGAATAGTTTTAAGTCTTAAGGGTTTCAAGTCTTAAAAGCATGTCCTCAAAGGCTATAAGAAGCATCTGAAGTATTTTAATATATTGTTGTTAAATACTGATATAAATAATGATCTGAAACAAAGCCAAGCAAGGCAGTGATCACCAAAACATTCTGAGAGACAAGAAAATGGTGGGGTTTTTAATGTTTTTCTTAAACTCCTAAGGGAACTATCATGTACAAATGTATCCAGTTTCCAAAGTGCTGCAATACCATAGGGTTTCCAGTGTGTTAGCAACTAAACTTTGTGATTTGTTATTGGAAAACCCTTCTATAATTTTGCTTAGAGGTGTAAATTGTATTTATTCATCTCTTCACAGTTATGGCAGAAGTTAAGCACCAAAAGAAGTTAAACCAGGCAGAAGTTAAACCAAAACCCTATCAATTGCAGTTTCCTCAGATCCTTTCAGTAGCTTAAGGCCATCACAGAGAGAAAAAAAACCTACAAATTCTTAAGTTTCAAAGTTTAGGCACAAATTTATGGCCTAGGTATAGGACAAGTAGTCAAACTTGTCAGACCCTAGAAAATCTTTGTAAAGGAAGATCCTTCAGAGGTGCTTCATTAAAGCCTCTCATAGGATTCAATTCTTTGAGGTACCTTCTGAAAAGATGAAGCTCTAACAGTCTTCACTGCAACATCTCATCCAGATGCAAGAGCAAAACTAACTTAATCTTTCAGTAGTTCTGCCATTTTGGGAAGGCTTCCTGTGACCAAAATAGCCCAAGACTATGCAAAAAGATCATGTAACATTAAAACAGTATGGATACTGTTTAATGAGAAAAGTGTAAAAGAGGACTCTCAGGGATGTCTTCTCACACCAGAGAAGCTGAGTAATTCTGTGCCAGTCACAGCTGCCTATGGCTTGGGAGATTTCCCACATTCAGCTGACTACTTTAACCAGACAAACCAGGCTTTAAATAACTATACATTAAATAGTAGATAAGACTAATCAAATGAAAGCAAGCCTACAGTACTCAATAGCATTTACCCAAGAGCTCTGAAGGAATTCACATGTGAAAGTGAAAAACTGCTGCCCAAGGCAACCCATCATTACAGGGAGGACACTGTCAGAGGACTCGTAGCTTGGGAACGTAACTTCAGCCTAAAACAGGGTTCTAGAGGGGAACCCAGGAACTACAGACCAGTAAATCTGATTCCCACCTTTGGCAAGACAGAAAGGTCTGTAAAAAAAGAGAATAGTACCATTAAGCCAAGAGATAAACACAGCATCAGGGCCATTACAACAGGGCACTGAGCTCATCTGGGCTGTATCTGACCCTGACTTTTACCCCCAAGCCATGATTCCCAGGTCTGTCTCAGAATCACCCTACCTGTACACAAGAAACCAGTCCTTTGACAATGAAGCTGCTACCCCCATCCATCTTATTACCACACGCTGCTCTCAGGAAGCTGCCAGCACTCACTGCTTCCTGGCAAAATCTTTCATTATAGAGTCAGCATTACTACAAGTGGAAAATGCTGCCTTGTTAACCTGCTGGAGTCCACGATGTGACAACAAGCAGATGGATAAAGGAACCCAGCAGACAGATTTTTCAAAAAGCCTTTGGAAAATCCCCACACTGAAAGTGGGTCTAAAAAGATTGAACTGATGCAGGATTAGGAAAAAGGTTTTGTTACAGATTCAAGGCTGCTTAAAAGTATAAAGCACAGGGCTGAATTGTCTTGAACAAAAAGCTTTCAGAGATCAGTTCTGAGACTGACTTTCTTCAGTGTCTTCATCAATGACCTGGAGAACAATGAAACCTGAGTTTCTGATGATCCTAAGCCCCTGCAAGCAATCAAATGCTACAAGACTTGCTGAAAACTGAGTGAGCAGGCAAAAGTGATGTAGATGAGCTTCAGCATACATAATGTAATATACAAACAAACAAAACTAAGCCTACATGACAGCGAATGTTCAGAATGTAGCCCTTCTGAACTCAACAAAAGTTTGAGAACCATTAGTGATAGCTCACTGAAATCACACTCAATGTGTGCCAGCAGGCAAAGACATCAAAGCGCTGGCCACCAACAAAAAGGATTTTGAGAGCAGGATTAAAGGCAGCATTTTGCCACTGTAGCAAAACCTTGCTACACCCACCCCTTGAGCGGGCAGCTCCACATTGTCCCTCTGAGAGCAGCACTGTGGAGCACAAAACGGATGAGAGGCAACTAAAATGATCAGTGGGACATAGCATCTGCCTTAATGGTAACTCAAAAGGATTAAGGCTGTTCAGTTTGGAGGGATGAATGCTCCGAACTGAGACACCAAACACAAAATTCTGAACGTTGTGCAGAAACAGAACATGCAATTGTTCACCAAATCTCACAATACAAATGCTAGAGGGTACTCCAGAAAAACAGTAGGAAACAATAAAATACAGGGTAAAGGATATGTCTTAAGCAGGTAGTGACTGCTGCCACCAGACCTGCAGAAGTGGCCAGCAGAAGCAAGCCCAGAAAGGGATTAGCCAAAACCATTAGACAAGTCCATCAGGCAGACGTGTACAAACACCCTGGCATGTGGACGCTGAAGAGCCTGAGAGGAATGGGGCACAGAGAGCAGCCGGGCTGGGGGTGTGCAGCTCTGCCGCTGCTGGAGATGACCTGGGATATAGAGATGGACACAGGAGAGCACAAGTCTGATTATCTGCCGCTTTCCAAGATGAAAGTTATGTAGTGCTTGACCTTAAAACACACAGAAAAGTAGCTGAAGTCATCGGGAACTTCATTCACAAAGCATCTTACACGCTCAGCGTCCGAGCCAGGAGCTCACCTCACACTCAAAGTCGGAGGGATGCTCTGCACACGGGCACTGACGTTTCCTTCCCAAAACCACACGTTATTCCCGTCAGAGACCACCCTGCCACAAGCAGAACTCTTTCTCGGCAGCAGCTGCAGCTCCGCCGCTACTCTCAGCGGGACAAAGGCTACAAGTCCCTCAGAAACTAACCCTCAGGCGAGCGTAGGTCTCTCACCCCCGGGGGCCGTCGAACCTCCACACACCACCCGCCATGCGGGACCGGGCAGCACCCTACCTGAGCCACCACATGTAGCTGTGCTCGTAGGGGAAGAAGCTGTGCGGGTCATCGCAGCAGTACTTGACGTCCTGGAAGCCGCAGCAGTACACGGCGCTGGCGTCGCCGCCCGTCCGCGGACAGCTGAACCCGCTCACCAGCACCTTGTCGGCGTTGAGGTAGCTGCTGCACTCGGCGCTCATGGTGCGGCGGTCACCCGCCGGGCTGCCCGGCTCCTCGGCTCCGGCGGCACCCGGGCGGGAGGTGGGGCGGCGAGCGGGCGGAGCTCGGGCGGGCAGGGGGCTGCGCTGGCGGCGGGCGGGAACCGCCGCCCCCCGTTCCCGTGAGGGGTCGCAGCAAGGCAGGAGCCTTCTGAGGTGAGGAAGGACGAGGAGCGCTTCCCGCCCTTCGGGATGGAGAGACAGGGCAGTGAGGGGCTGAGCCCCCCCGCGGGTACTCACCTCAAAGGCAGCGCTCAGCGTCTCTCCCTCGGGCTTGGTTTCTCCTCAGCGTTCGGTCCCACATTGAGGGGATACTTTAGGGGTCTGCCATATTAGCCTCGGTGGGGCCTCAGGACAGCCAAAGCAAGAAGGGAATTAAGAGAGATCACACCTTGGCTTTATGAGAGGTAAAAACACCACGTAACATTCAGTGTTTCTGAGAGACCAGTATCCTACACTCAAGAGAGCATTTCTCAGTTTTAAAAGTGGGCCCTGGACAGTCATTCTGTTACTTATATGAAGTCCTCTCCTGAGGGAAAGGTGGGTAGACCTTAGCTCAAGATAACGCATACCTCTGCATGCAACTCAGAAAAAAGGATAATAAAAAGCTTCCAGGAGAGCAATGGGTAGACACAACCCCCTCCAAGGACCTGGCCCTCCTCTCCAGGTTACAAGAAAGCCCAAATCAAGTGCTTTGCCACACAGTGACCCACCTCAAGGAAACGTTCAGGTTTTAGAGAGAAAGGGAAGTTGTGCAGTATCAGCAGAGCTTGACTTGAATTCATAAGGCCACATTCAACCAACGCTTCACTTTTAATTTCAGGCCTTGCCTTGAGATGAACTCCAGACAAGTGGGAATTTCATGTCATTGAGCTAACTGCCAGGCAACAGCAAGAGCCAGGAGCAATGGCAGCTTAGGGAGAGGCAGTGTCCTCACCAACCAGGGTGCAGGATCTGAACACTTCTAGGCTGGTGACAGGCACCATCAACAGTCCCAGGTAAGGTGAGCTACCATATGAAGTCCAGAATCCATCTAGGGAGACAGGACAGGAGGCAGGTTACCTACAGCATAGGAGGACCAGCAAACAATCCAGGCCAGCAAGAAACAGCAATGAACACAAGTATACTTCAGGTATACCTTAGGGAAGGTCAGGGTCCCCTGGCAGGAGCTTAAATGTGGCTCCTGGACCAATGAGCAGAGGTTGTGGATGTGATGGGGACCCAGGTGATGCTGATCAGGGGCTGATAATGGTCACTTAGAGCCCTGACACAAGTATCTTCCAGAACGACATGTAGTCCCCCTATGTTATGGTGTTTGACTGTACTTGCTAAAAGTATAAATATTCTTCAGTTGCTTGGTTGATTTTATTCTGTGAAATCAACCCTGACTTAGCACCAGCTAAAGTCAGAAATTCTGTCAGGGTCTATCTGCTGCGTTACAGATTTGCCTTCCTAATATTTAGATGCATATATGAATAGCCAGGGAAGATTCAAATTATTCAACTGCTGGGTGCCTTAAGCTTGAGCAGTTTGAGAATTTTACCTTAGGGACCTCAAAACCAGGCTCAGTGCTTGCTTGAAGTTGCACTGTACAAATGAGAGGATGAATGACAGTGATGTGGCTGGAGCAGAGTCAAGTAAAGGAGACCAGGAGGAATCAATGAGTATTGGACATGAGAAAGGAAAAGAGCTAGACTGCTATCAGATCTTCTGACAGTTGTAATTTCATCACTTGTGTTGTTCAGAAGAAACCAGATTTAATCAGATCAATTATTTTATGGTAAAATTGAGGATTAACTTATTTAGAATGTATGTTAGGAAAATACTAGAAAGCAGCCTTTTAACCTCAGTTATGTCAGTAGTGTCACTACGTGTTAGGATTTAATAATGACTTTTGTGATACTTAAGGTCCTTTTTAAAGATCAAGCTCCTAGTCATTTGATTAAGTTTTGTTTCAGTAACAGTAGCTTAGCCTTTCAAAGACATGGGGACTGTGTTTCTGTGGTTGAGAAAAGGGTCTCTAGTGAGGGAAGGATGGGTGAACCTCAGCTCAAAAGCCATCAGTTTTGTTGGCCAGATAGTGTTTATGCATCAGTCAGCTAATTAACTGCAGGACTGAGCCCCACAGGCAGCATAGCTGTAGAGACCTTGCCCTCCAGTTAAGTTTAAGCAGAAGACACGCAAGAAAATACAAAAACAACAACAAACCCAAACCAAATACAGTAGTAAATGCCATGGTTTCAGAGTCTGATTCAAGACTTGGTGAGGTTAATAATACTGTGTTGAAAAGAGAACTCATTTAAGTCATACAACTTCCTGGGGTGCAGGGACATCTAATTCCAGTCTAACATGTATTTGTCTTTTGAAATGTCTTCATGCATCTTGTTCAGTTGCTAATATCTATTTTGTTCCAAAACCTGAATTCCTGTCCTTGTTTTTCTTTGTGATTCTCCTTATTCCTCTGTTGTTTATTTTCCATCTTATCCTTTCTTTATCTGTTTCCATTGAGGTCCTGTTCATACCAGAATTCAACCACCAGAGTAAAAACAGATTTATCAACCAATTGAATCCAGAAGGATTCAAATCACCTTTTCAACTTGAGTATTCCCAACTCAAGTAGTCAAGAGATGTTTAGTAATATAGGACATTCTCAGTTGTTTTTGTATTTCATGTTATTTTACTTTTGGAGGTTTTTCTCTTATTTTTCAGAACCCAGATAACAATTTTCTACTTGGAATTATTACAGCACTGATTTGGAACAAATAAAGTTACTTATCACAGTTTAATGCTCAGTCTTACACAATCTTCCACTCATACTTACTGAGTATAAGGTAGAACTGAACTGGAGCTGAAGTAAGGGTGATTTCTTCCTCCAAACTTAAAGAAATTTGGCTTCAAAGAAGGCTGAAATGTTATGAAGTGCCAAAATCTTTTTATATCAATTAGTATGCTCATTTATATAATGTAATTAATTTGTACTTGCCACGATTCTTGGGTGACAATAATTAACATGTTCTGTTCTTCAATTATTTGGAATTATTTATATAAAGCATTAAAAATGAACTTTGAGTTACCTGCCTCAGTGACTGAATTAACTATGTAACAGCTGGAGGACTGAAATAAAAGCAGTTTTGATGAGGTGTTAAGGACTTGAAGTGGGAGTGGGAGGCTCTTCACTGACCATGGGCATCATCTTTTATGTCAGAAGAAAACCACATCACCTTGTTTTCCCATTCCAGTTGCAAAACACAGACCTCTTCCAGTAAGACCTAGTGGTTTGGACTCCGTAACGCATCTTGACCTTTCTTTTTCTCCGCTATTGCTAATATCAATTTAAGTTACTACACAGATGCCTGCAACAGTTCTCTCTGCTGACGAGTATATTTCAACTTAACAACGAGGTCGTTCAGCTTTTAGAAAAACAAACACAGATCAAAGACCTTTGCAGGACACACTTCAATAACAGACAAATTATCTAGGTAATTCAGGAGCAGCTTTCAGAACTGTATCCAAAACAGGATACTTCTGTTCTCTGAGTGCCAAAATATAATCCTTGTAAATATGAGTCTTTTCTGCAGTGAAGTTCTAGCTCTACCAAGCCTGATAAAACCTGCCAACTTTGGCAGATGCTTGCAACCCAGACTCTTCTTCAAATCTTTAACTGACTTACTGGTGCTCATACTGACTTCCAAGAAATTGTTTTGGCTGTACTTAAATCCTATTTTCGCAATACTTGGTGCCATGGAACTGTCTCTTTGGCTTTCTATCTCTTACAACTGTTTACAAGCCTTCCCAGTGAAGTCACAAACATAAATATATGTATAACAGCAGCTGTTCTTGTTAAGAATAATTGCAATATTTATCTAAACGACTATAAATGTGAAAATTATGCAGCCTCTTATTTAATTATCCTAACTCCACAATTTACTGGCCACCAGAACTGGGATGGTTTAATTTTCCAGCAAATAGAAAGAATTCCTCTGACTGAACACAGCTTAGAGCAAAAGGGACTTGGGGAAGAAGCTAAACCTTCTGATTTAGCTGTTCCATTTGCAGTGAAGTTAATTGTACCTCTGCAGTGACCATTACTTAAATGCTGAGAACAAGCATTCATATTAACATTCCTGGGACACATTTCTACCAGCCAAGCTTCTAAGAAACAGGTTAGTTATAAACTACCGATAGAGCTGTTTGGATCTGCATCAATCCTCACCCTCAGACCTACATGGAATGTTTTTCTTTAGGAGCATAATCTAATTATTAATGGGCAAAGAGCTGCATAAATTACCTTCAGAAGTAATCTGGTGGCAAATTTTGCAATTAAACCAAACTGTCATGCCAAGATGGTATAACTAGCCCTGATGAGGAGTAACAGCTCAAACTGACATCAGAGTTAGTGTAGATAGCATGTTTTATCACACGTAAGTAGTAGGCAGATGACAGCATAAGGTTTAAAACTGAAAAGGGAACAGACGTTTAAGGGGTGCATGTTTGCAGTACAGTGAGATGCTGTCACTCAGGACAAAAAGAGAAGGACTGATGCTAGGTGCATTTTAAAGAGGAGGATCTGGTTTGACACTGCCTTATTTGACTCTTGTGCATTGGTGAAGGACGGAAATCTGACAAGAGAGTATGATACGTCTTGGTTTCTGCTCTCAATTCAGATGATACACTGTAAGCAAATTGCTTTCCCAGTGTGTGCTTCAGTTTAACTCTGTAAATTTGGGAGAATGGTGGAGTTGTCTGACACTTGTTTGCTAAAAAGTTGGTGTTTCGAGGTATTCTCTGTGAAAGTGAACACATGTAGAAAGCATCGTTATGATTTTTTACGTCACTCTAGAGCCTACTAATTTTTCTAGTAATTTTAACTGTCTTTTGTACACATTAGTCTTTAATTGATTCCCCCCCAGTCAATGTATAGTACAGATTTTGCCTTTATACTGTCTCTGATTTACAGAGCTAAATAATGAGGAGGGAGAAAGTAATTTTGAGTATCAGGAAGTAAAAAGAGGCTTCAGTCAAAATTTAAAGGAAGAGGGATAATCAGTGAAACAGAGTGAATCTATTTTCAGTGTTGACACTGGTAATTTTGAGGTGAGGATGGAGTTCTGATAAATAGTTTGTGTTTGTATGTGTAATGGCCTCAGT